GAGAGGGAAGCTCAGGTCCAAGAGAAAGCTCAGAGGGGACAGGGCCTTCTCTATTGCTGCTCCAAATCTCTGGAACAATCTGCCCCAGCACATTAGAGAGGTCCCTTCACTGTCAACTTTTAAAACACGTCTTAAAACCTATTTTTACTCCTTGGCATATGACCCTGATTTTATTGTTTTAATCTAATGTGCTGATTTTATTTATTTTAAATGTTATTCTAATTACCATTTTATACTATTTTATTTATTTATTTGCTATTTGTGGTTGAATTTTATTATTTTAAATGTCATTTTAATTATCATCTTTTAAAAATTTTTTTATCTTTATCTTTTATTTTTTAACTTATTCAATGTATCATTTCTGGCATGTCAAGTGTACAGCACTTTGTGTTCAGGTGGGAGTTGTTTTGAAAGTGCTATAAAAAATAAATTGCTTGCTTGGTGTTCAGATTTAAGACATGAAATTTGAAGTGTGGGCTGCAGGAGGTTTCATTCCTGTAAATAAAGGCAAGCAAAGTCTGCACCTCTTAAGGAAACCTGCTTGGCATTTAACATGCCTTGTTTGCGACAGCTTTCACAGGACCTTAGAAGCATTACTGTGATGAAAAGAAGTGGGAAAGGCGAGAAAAACTACAGTGACATGAATGTTCATCAGTCTACAATGAGCCAAATTGTCTGTAAATTAGGTGTAATTTAGGGCTGCTGCTCCTCTGCATTTGAGACATACTGCAGAGATCATCCCAAGGCTTCAATCCCAAAAGAGGTAGCAGCAAAACACCTGCAGACATCTGCACAAATAGGATGAAAACAGTAAGGAAACCACTGCACTCCAAGAAAACCTGCTCCTAAGTATTAAGCATGGAGGTGGTAGTCTCATGTTTTGCCACTGCGTTCTCGAGCCCATGACACCTTGCGACAATTGAAGAAATAATGAAGTTAAATTGCATGAAGACATTTTGTCAGGACAGCAGTCCATAACCTGGAGCTTGCAAAGCAATAAGAATACCAATCAAAGCTTTATTTGTCACATGCAGGTTGCCCTGCAGTGAAATGGGACCCCCCCCGACCTTACACATATAGCACAAACATTACATGGGGATACAGGTCGGAGATTGGTAGAATCAGAGAAAAAAACATTGAAATGTACACCACAGTGGGGAAAGTACAAGAGGAAAAAAAGAGACCCCTACTCATGCTGTGCTTCCATGGTAGGACAGCATGAGAACAGGAAACAAAAAAACTCCTCTGCAGAAAAAAAGCACATAAATGTCCACAGCACAACATTGTGAAGACATGACAAGCCACAGGGGTGGGTGGGGGGTGAGGAGTAATCCGAAGCGAACACAGCAGCCGCCCTGCACAGCGCTACCATTCCAGCGCGGCACACAGACCCGCCGTGTTCCCTCGCAGGAAACAAGCATCGAAGGCGTTGGAAAGGGAGGGGGGATGAGTGAGTGCCTATCAGTGCAAGTGTATGTGTGTGCGTGTCCATAGTTCAGCTGAGACAGTGTCCTTCGGCCTATCAGGCTAAGTAAACAGTCCTCCAGCCAATCCAGGTGTCCTTGCATGGGATGGGAAGAATAGCCGTAACACAGTCGTTATCAGGGAGTGATTGTTCGGCTCCAGCCTTGGGCCTGCAGCTGGTGCCGTGATGGGGATCCGCAATGTTCATGTTGATTTTGTTAATTTCCATGCGAGCAGCCCAGGAGAATTTTCAGGCTGCTCTTTAACACTCCGACGCTGGTCTCTCAATCCCGTTGGAGAGTCACGAGCCTCCCCATGATGGTATTAAACTTCTGTTCCATGGTGTTATCATTCTTTTGATTCTGAGACCTCACAACTGCAGTGATCCGTTCCTCGATGTCTTCCAACTGTCGCTCAAGGGTCTCATTTTGAGCAGGCCTCTCTCTGATGTTTCCCCCCATACGCTCAATGGTTTTGAGCCTTCACAGTAGCTGCAAGCGTCTCCAAGATGTTGACCATATTACGTTCATTGTGAGAGGTTGCGCCTCGTTCCATTTCGATTCCAGTGGGCAGCCTTGGGGGGGTTTGAACAGCCGCTTCCGCTCTCTTATTTCTCCGATAAACCAGGGCTAAGCCAACTCCGATCAGCATGAACCCTGTTATCACGGTTCCGAATAGATAGATATCTTCAGCGTCCTCGATCGACAGTCCCGCCAGGCACATGATCCTCCAGTTCTGCCACCCGTCCATCGTGTATCCGGCAGGGAAAGTCCCTCCAGGGCACTCAGGCTCTCCCGAGCCCAGATTTCTCATTGAGAAAAGGGTGTCAATAGCATTCAGAGACCAGTTGATCAAATCCATAATTCTCTTTTAGGTTTTAGAGAACGACAGTGGGAGGCTATTCCAGGGAAAGTAATGCACACAAGACAAGACAAGGACATAGAGGCTAAGCAGGGAAGATAAGGGTGAGGAGGAGAGGAGAAAAGTGCGACCGCCTTCGCTGAGAGCTGAAGAAGAAATTACGAGTTAATTAGCACCAGAATAACTGGAAGACAGTGAAACAACATTAAGGTTTTGATTAGGTTTGACACTAATCCAGCTAAGATCCTGGGGTAGGACCTTCAAAGGGATTTTTTGATCTTCACATCCTGGGAGTTTTGTAGGAAGGAAGGCTCCACTGTTTCTCCTCAGCATTCTGCGTGTTGCGTAAGCACTTATTGGCCATATCTGATTGTTAACTTGTTTCACAAGTTATTGAATTCAAGAGTTAATTTTTAACTCTTTCCAGTCTTTGCCATAATTTCTTAATGTGTTCAATTAAGCAATGAAAAGCACAACTATGTGTGTTAATTAGCTTATTCAGGTTCTATTCAAGTTGAGTGAAATCATCTTAATTCCAAATGATTCACAAACTCCCTTTTTGAAGCTGTGCATAGATTTTAGAAGATCGGCTTGTCCTTCTTCCTGACACAGAAGTAAGAATGTCTCTCACTTTTGCATTGTTTGCATGTCTTTTGAGCTTGGGTAGATTAGGTTAGCAGGTGTGTTAAGAGCAGGGACATTTACATTATGACTAAATCTCTGCCAGACCCAGCAGATCTGTCAGAATGGTCTGCATCACGCATTACTCACTTTCTCTCTCTTTGAGGATTGTTCGATCATTGAAAGGCCAATTGCTCCAGCAACAAAGCCGAAACCCAGACTAAACTATCTACACAGATAATAATGCTTTGTTCTTTGGAGAACTCAAAATGTAACTACTGCATATGAAAAACCTTCAGGATCTGTTAAGGGGATGATGTCCTTGGACATACTGATTTGATTGACACACACTGGTTTTTTTGTTGTTTTTCTACTTTGACTATAACAATATGCGCTTTGACTTTATTTTTCCAGGTTCCAGGAGGTGCTGCTGAGTGGAGACCATGTGACCTCTGATGAAGATTAAAAGGCAAATGTGAGAGAAGAGTCAGCAAAGCTCCTGTTTTCCTTCTACCAGCTTTGCTTTTATGCTCTGAGTCATTGAATTGAAGTTGAGAAGATACAAGAACTGGCTGTTTGTACCAGCTAAGCTCTAGAGTGAGAGTTGACAGCAGCACCTATGCCCTGTATTTTACTGTGGGCTCAATACGCTGTACCGTCTCTTCATCTCATTTCTTAATTTCTTTAATTTTATAAAGCGGGTTTATTCACATCTGCACACTGTTTTTGTTATTTAGGGGGTTTTTTTGTTCAGGAAATAATTTAGTGTGACGTGGGAGTCGTGTCAGACTAGGATACGTTTTTTTGGGGGGGGTTTAACAGTAAGAATTTGAATTATGTAATAAAATGTTTGTTAGTACTTTTGTTGTTTTGATTTGTTTTTTTTACTACTTGAAAACTAATTTAGCTAACCCCTAGTTATTTCTATTTTAATTTCAAGCAGGCTTGCAATTGTTTTTATGGTCTTCAGCAGTAGTTCTGCAGGCTTTCTGAAAGTCTTACTAGCATCCTGTTGCAAAAATGCAAATTTTGTTTTCACTCTTCTAATTGAAACTAGAAAGACCCAAAATGGAAGACTGTCTGTCATGTATTTACCTCATCAGAGCCCAGGCCTCAACATTACTGAAGTGGTGTTGAATCATCTTCACAGACAAGTAAAAGGCAGCCAACATCCAAAAAAGAGCTCTAAATGTCTGTTACGGAGCCTGGAGACTAGTTTGCCTAAGAGAGCTCAGCTTCATTAATTAATAATAACTTTTTGTTAAGCATAAGATTAAAGTAAATTAATCCCCCCCACACACAGACACATTTTCTCAACATATATAACATATATAAAACAGTAAAATATTAACAAAATAAACTATTTAAAAAATAGCAGAAGAAGAACGAAGGAAAAGAGGGGCACTGATCCTTTAGTAGCCAATAATAATAAAAGTGCAGTAGCCATCAGCGTGGCACCACATCTCACACAGCTCCAGCAGTCATGTGACTACGACTCAGTTTAACAGTAGCAAGCTTTCAGTCTTTTTGTGTCCAGTTTGGATACAAGAAACAAAACGAACGACAAACTTTTAAAACTGTAATATTAATGAATAAAAAAATCTGTATTTTGGGAATAAAAGCCAAGTTTGTTGTTTTATTTTTATTTATTTATTTTTGTTGACTTTGAGGTACTGTGACCTTTCGTTAAAAAACATATTTTTAGTATTATTTAAAAAAAATAGTTGAAGCTCATGCGTGATTATGCCCTTGCACTTGTGTAATAGAAACAGGACTCAAAATAGTATTTTGATGCGTAATTAACATTTTTTAACATCTGTTTTTAAGGTTTTGGGGTTTTATAATTTATGCAAATAGGTCTTTAAACTGTCACAGACAGTCTGCCTGCTGGTAACAGTGACTGTATTTTGGCAATGATTGAATATCAACCGATGACTGTACAAATCACTGTTATGTGTTTTCTACAGTCAGTGATACCAACAGGCGGCGCCATTAACCTGATATAGAAGTTGCTGTACCCGGACTTATTCAAAGGACGGACACATGAAACGGAAGCAACATCATCGCTTTTCCGGCATGCTCCTAGTTGAAGAGCAGCAAAGCGCCTCACTGCGATTTTTTCCACGATGTCTGTTAAACTAAATGCGCTAAACAGTGATTCTTACATTGACATTAGCCAATACAGAGACCAACACTTTAAGGTAAATGAGGAAGTGGTCTTTAGGAAGGCGGTGACTTATCGTAATTTACGGGAATGTAAATGTAATGTGTCTTTTAGCTAACTGTTAGCAAACAACAAAGGCGAGCGGTGCTGTGTAGTGGAGGTGGAGGTGACTCGGGAACAAACAGAACAGCAAAACACATCTCTGTATTTTAACCTGGCCTTAAAAACTCCTGATGTTGTTTTATGATGCTTCGTTGGGACTAAAGCGTGGCTAACTTATAACTTAACTCCTTGCTTCAACACAGGTCGTTTGAACGCTATAATGTCAACTTATTGAGAGCAATTTTTTTTAAACATTTGTAACGTTGCTTGTGCTTTTAGGGTAATCGCTATGATCAGGAGAAGCTTCTGAAGCAGAGCAACACTTTGTATGTGGGCAACCTCTCCTTCTACACCACCGAGGAGCAGGTAAGACACAAAACCTTCACCAGTTAAAGTAATAACTCGGCTTTATTGGAAAGTTGCTGAATTTCTTCTTCAAAGAGACCAATATGATGGGGAAAATTGCTGACTGAGCTATTAATACATTAGGAGACTCATTTATAAAACAGTGCATGTGATCTGTCTTCAAAACAAATATAGTTAGTCAAATATTGTCCTATAGTTATGCCAGCAAAACACCACTGGCATTACACATAAGCTTCAAGTGTTTATATGGAGCAGGTTATCTACTAATTGGAAGATTGTTGGTTTTCCTAAGTATCCTTGGGCAAGATGCTGAACCCCAAGTTGCTTTCCCCAATTGTGTGTGACTGTGCGATAGAAAGTGCTTGTATGAATGGATGAGTGAGCCATGTTGTGTGCCTGACAAAAGTCATGTAAAGAGTGGCATTTTAGCTGTTTTGAGCTTCACAGCAGCTTGACACTTTCAGCAGTACTGCACTCAAGCTGTCTTTGTGTTCAAGGGTTGGAAAATTTGATGGAAAAAAACTGAACGTCAATGTGTCGCACATAAAATATATGTCAAAAAACACATAATAGACATATTTTCAGTGTTGATTTTTCTGATAGTTTATCATAAGAGAAGTCCCAGAGTTGGAAAATTCACAGAAGATATTTTGTTAAATTTTCTCAAGTTTTCTAACTTTTTTTGCCACTGTGAACAGGTACACGAGCTGTTTTCTAAAAGTGGAGATGTCAAGCGTATCATCATTGGCCTGGACAAAATCAAGAAGACTGCTTGTGGGTTCTGCTTTGTCGAGTATCCTTCAAAAATATTTAATTCATGCTAAATGAAACTGTCAGTAATTTGACTGCCTTCAGAATAGGGCTGGGCAATATGGCCTAAAATCCATATCACGGTATAATTTTAGCACGTGTGGTAACGATATATATCGCGATATATTATTTTCTTCTGTATAACGTATTTTCCACACTATAAGGCACACGTAAAATCCTTTAATTTTCTCAAAAATCGAGAGTGTGCCTTATGTATGACCTACTGACCTCGAACTGATTTTGGCTGCAGAAATCTGTTAAAAAATGTTTTAGTGCAACTTTGGTAAGCCGCACTGCTTGATGGATTGTCAGAGCATTACGGCTGCCATAGTGAGCTTCGCAGAGTAATCTGGGTCCAAAACTCCGTCCTCTTCAGCTCCCAAAGTCAAATGAACACAGAGTTAAAAACGATCTAAATTCTTTCATCTTTAATAAAATCATCAGCGTTGCTGCTTTACCAGGTGTAACAATTAAGTTTAACATCCAGGCTTCCACGAAAACAGAATTTATTACATTTAATGGAGTTACAAGTTAACAGGAAGTTAGCTCGCTAGTTTACACCTAAACATTTCATACCATGTTCTGACTGAGAGATTTTTGAAGCTAATTAAAACGTACAGCTCTGCTACCACTTCCAACATAAATGAAGACAGAAAACTAAACAGCAGTGGCGTTTACAGGGTTACTGAAGTTGGACTACCTGGTATATAATGTTGTGCTACGTGATTGCTAGCGACACAGCTATGTTAGCATAACATTAGCACAGTGAAGCTGGAGGATGAACGCCAACTTTTTTCCACTCGATAAAAGTTAACGTGAGGGATTCTGGTGGTCAGGGACAAATACAATCGCATAGCAGGATGCTATACATGGGCCAAACTTCAGTCAGGAGAACAACTGAGATTATTCATCCACAATACGAGGTTAGTTATCAATATACTGCAACAACATGGGAATAGAACAGCTGCGAGAGAATTCAACATTAATGAATCAATGATGCGGAAGTGGAGGAAGCGCAGTTTTTGGCTTTCCTCATATTCTAAAAGTGCTTCATCTCTTTGCTATGACTGTCGCCCGGCATAATTTGCAGATGATTATGGTTGAAGCCGCTGCGATGCTTTCAACCAAAACAGGCACAGCTTGATGACATCATCAACATGCGGTAGAGCGGTATAGTCAAAATCTCTATCGTTGGCCATATTTATATCGTTTCTATCGTATATCGTTTCTATCGCCCACCCCTACTCCAGAATCCCCTTCAGAAGTTACCAGAACATCATGAATTGCACGTGTTGTGCCTTAACGCTGTCCCAGATACTACACCCGTGGAGATGCAGAGCATGCCATGCGCTTCATTAATGGCACACGGCTGGATGACCGCATCATCAGGACAGACTGGGATGCCGGCTTCAAGGAAGGAAGACAGTTTGGTCGTGGCAAATCAGGAGGACAGGTGAGGGTTAGGATATGAGTACTTTAATAAATGGAAGCAACCTGCTGTGGATGCCGACTGCTGGTTTATTTATTTATTTTTATTGGAGCAAACTACAAAGCTTAAAGTTAGTTCTGTGAGTAACTGCACTCGTATTTGAATTAATCCAAAAAGATATTAACCCACGACTAAAGTAATGTTAAAGAACATTGTCGACGTCTCTGATCTGGGCTTTAGAGCTCAGCTCACTGGTATAATTTAAACACTTAGTTGTTCATCTTGTTTATTTGAACGAAATCAGCCTCCAATAGATCATGCTGTTGTGATTCGAACCCTGCATAACCTGCAGTTTTATCACTTTGATAAAAATATTGTTTCAGTTTAGTTTTTAATGTTATGTTTTGTTTTGTTTTTTTTTTTACTGATTGTGAGATAAGAGTTTTTAAACCTCTTGACTGGGGTGCACTTTGTTACTAAACATTCAGATCAGCAACTTTCAATTCAATTTTATTTATATAGCCCGAAAAACAACAGCCGCCTCAAGCCGCTTGTCCAGACTTCAGTCCAGAAATGCTTGCGTCTGCTTTTCAGATCCATATCATATCAGATTTGTTTCGTTTAATGCGCCTTATCATCCGGTGTGCCTTATAGTCCGGAAAATACGGTATTTTACTCATACAATTCATAAATGAACTCACCAAAGTAGGGACACTTAATTGGTGATTGTAGTAGTTTCCATTATGTTGAGAGCTCAGGTTTGGCTGATGCTTTTTGCCTGATTGTCATCATCATGACGATCATTGTCTATCATTGAACACTTCAGCAATCTCTGCACTGCAGATATTTTGGACAACAACATAAAATGCAGCATACTATGACATTTGAAAAATGACACATACTGAAATGGCATTCAAAAAATCAATACACTTTATCATGGCATTTTAATACACCAGTATGATATTTAGAACTTAGAAAATAAATTATGCATGAATACCCATGGCCTTTAAATAGATGGCATTACCGTAGTAATGCATTAGCAAAATGAGCTGGTATATTATGCTGTTAACAAACACAACATAACATAATCATGTTTTATTTTGTCGAGCTTTCTGGGAGCGTAAACATGGCAGCAAATATTGGGCAAAGGACCTGATTATTGTTTAGATTTTCCTTTCCTACAAACACCCAGCAGTATGACTCCTGAAAATGTTTGTGTTGGAGCGTAAAAGTTTAGTCTTGGTCATTGAGAACAGCTCATTAACCCTTTACAGCCGATCGGAGCGGACACGCTCTGTTTTGCGTAACTATTTTTAAATCCCAGTAGCACTGCAACCACGTAAGCTAGCGCAAAAATTTTTTTTGCATATGAAACCGGAGTTGTAGTACTCACATCTTATGCCATCAGCTTGTCCTAGGTCACAGTTTCCTTCCACATAAAGCTTTGCAAAAACTGCATAAAAAGCGCTTGCAGGAACAAAAACATAATATTCCAGAAACACGCTGTGCCGGTCCGATCAGCTGTTCATAACACTTCCTACGTTGGAATAGACATCAGCGCGAACTTTTGCATTTCCGCCATTACCTGCCCGAAACCGGAAGTGACGTCATTTTCGCGGAAATGTAGTCTTTTTTGCGATCAGGGCCTCAGGGCCTATACTGGTCTTTTTAAAAGTTATCTTTGACTTTATGACTTTCTGTGTCGTTTCTGGGATGCTTAGGACTCATACTGCACTGCTGGAAATAGTTTATTTTGATGCATATGCTGCTTTTTTGCAAATTTGCAGTATAATATTTATTTTCGTTTTTCCTGCAGTGTATAAAAATTGGTGTATTTCAAAAATAAAACTATGAAGACACTCAAAATAAATTTCCTGTGGTGGGAAACTATTTTGTGCAACTTTTTTATATTTACAGTTTTGAGGGATAAGCCTCTTAAATTTCTCCAACTAGAAATATATGTTAAAAAACAAAAACGATTTTCAATTTTTTTTGTAGTTTATTGCACTTTTTTGCAATTTATGTAATTACTATGCACTTAATGAATACATATTATTAAAATCTGGGCTATAATGGTTGTATTGATGTATAGCAACTTGAAATGCTCCCAAAAATGGCTCCACAGCAGGTAAAAATATAATATAAGCTCTGGCGGACTTGGTTCTATAGTAGGTCTTAAAGGG